TAGGGTCAATAAGTCTACACCTGTGGTCAATACGCGGTCGATAACAGGTGAGTCAGTGTCTGTCCTGGCGGCGTCTCCCCCTGCGTCCCCTCTGGTTGTTCCTCCCAGGACGGTGGAGGTAACGTTGTTGTTCCTCCCAGGACGGTGGAGGTAACGGTTGTTGTTCCTCCCAGGACGGTGGAGGTAACGGTTGTTGTTCCTCCCAGGACGGTGGAGGTAACGGTTGTTGTTCCTCCAGGACAGGACGGTTGTTGGTGGAGGTAACGGTTGTTGTTCCTCCCAGGACGGTGTAGGTAACGGTTGTTGTTCCTCCCAGGACCCAGGTAACGTTGTTCCTCTCAGGACGGTGTAGGTAACGGTTGTTGTTCCTCCCAGGACGGTGGAGGTAACGGTTGTTGTTCCTCCCAGGACGGTGGAGGTAACGGTTGTTGTTCCTCCCAGGACGGTAATGGTTGTTGTTCCTCCCAGGACGGTGTAGGTGGAGGTAACGGTTGTTGTTCCTCCCAGGACGGTAATGGTTGTTGTTCCTCCCAGGACGGTGGAGGTGGATCTTACAGTTGCTGTTCATCCTGGGATATGGTACTAGGTGGCGATAACTGCTGTAGTAACGTATATAGAGGAGCTTTTAATTTTCTTCAAATAATTATAAGACCAAGCAACGATTGTAGGTATAATAATAGTATTAAGTAATAATAATAATAATTATTATTATTATTGTAGTAATAGATATTGTAAACAAATACAAATCCCTGTAAAGTACAGTGACGATGTATGTTCATAAGATGATGTTTTATTAATTCTTATGTTGTGTATACTTATTTACTTAGTTTTGGGAGGAGATGAGCTGTGTACCGGGTGTGTTATGTGACCTTTTGTTATATAAAACAATTATAATTAGACGGGTGTAAAGTTTGAAGCGATTCAACAAAATCTGGAAACCATGAAGTTGATAGTAACTTTAGCAGCCCTGAATACTTATGACTCGTATTAATAATGTTTGGTTTACGATATTAATATTGATTAGTTCCTGGGCCAATTATGTTCCTCTCTAACCTCTTTCACTACCACCCACAGGATAGGTAAAGGGTCACCTACCTATGACCTACCTAGGTCACCTATGTGGGTGCATACTAATTGACATACACTAACTAGAATTGCAATGAAAGTGATTGGCAATGATTACATTGCTAGAAAAAAGTGAACATCCACTGGGAAGCAAATAGGCAACACCAGATGGATCTGAACTTGGGATCTCTCCGACAACACGTCTAGTAACGTTCTTCGGTGAAGCATTATTATTTTTTACTTTTGGCTCGGTAGACAATGTCTCACTCTCCTGACAGGAAGAACGCGTAAACAACCGTATCTGTCGAACAGCTGTCAGCCGTCATTGATTAGTTATCCCGATAGTGTCAGCAAGGCAGACGATCATTCAAGGGCCGGGAAGTGTTGGAGCCAGTTGTGTGTCAGGCTGCTGCATACTTGTGTTACCCAGGATGCCAGCCGGCCTCCAGCCGGCCTCCAGCTGCTCTCAATAAGTTTTCGCCTCAATGTTACCTTAATGGAGTGATTGCTTTCACGGCTGGCACTACATGTTCTGATGGATTTACATGTGGGGTAGCTTCACTGATAAGTTAGTACGACATGATATTCATCCATATCCTTAATACGACTGTCCCTTCGGTAAGAAGGAAACTGGATATATATATATATATATATATATATATATATATATATATATATATATATATATATATATATATATATATATATATATATATATATATATATATATATATATATATATATATAACTAGGTGGCATATAGTCCTGGGGACCATTCAGGCTTGTTCGCATTTGTGTTCCTCACGTGTGCCCCAAAGAATGAGGTGATTTGATAAAATATCATGGCCAAGATTACCAACAGAGTGCCGGCGGGGGGATGGGAATTAGCCTCGGCTACCATCCTCTTTTGTCCGGTCGTGTTGGTCGAGTGGTTAAGGGATCCTGTACATCAGATGCATTGCTTCTGGCAGTATGGGTTCGAGTCACTTCTGGGGTGTGAGTTTTCAGTTGCATATCAGTTGATTATCGCAAAAGGAGCCAAATTGATGACCCGATAAAGATGGACATGGCGGGAGGGAGGAAGGGGGGGGGATCGACCTCTGACACTCACACCTCACCATGGAGTCACGTGACGTCACCAGCCGTCTGGTCTCCAACTTTGAACAGTCAACATGCGAGACATTCTGTCCTAAATATAGTAAGGGACGGGGCCCGGCCTTGTCCAAGTCTGCTTCCCGTCTATCCATCGTTATCTATATGCATATTTATTTAGCTATCTATCTATCTATCAGTCCATTTATCCATCCATTCATGCCTTAAACAACAGACGCCACCACTCACTATTTAAACGCTATACAATAGAAGCCATCAAACACTATTTATACAATATTTTTTGTTATTACAAAACTATTAGTAGTTAATAGCATAAGAACTAAGGAAACTGCAAGAATCCTAGTGTCCCCTACAAGGCAGTTGCTGTTGTCTAATGTCACATGTGACCTATTTGTCGTTTAACTTGATCAATGGCAGTACCATAATCTTACCTCAGACATCGTAAGTGTTTGTGAACTACATCCTTCAAACTTCTCAACGAGGGTCTTCGTATTTGGTGAGTCAGCAACAGCTGGTCTGGAGCGACGTCATCAGTGACGTCACTGATAAACAAGAAGTGCGCGGGCTGACTGCGCAACTCACACCGCAACTTTGTAAAATAACTATATTCAAGAACCAACAACTGTAGCAAAAGTATGAAAACTGCTTATTTACAGAGTAAATCAGTTCTCTTGTAACTACTGGGAGTAGTAAACATTATGACGTCACGTACTGGCGTGTGATTGGCTGGAAATACGGGCAGCGTGAAATGTTTTCTTCAGGAAGTCATTTTTTGTAATTACGCGCGTGCGTGTGTGTACTCACCTAATCACCTAATTGTACTCCTCTAATTTTGCTTGCGGGGGTTGAGCTCTGGCTCTTTAGTCCCGCCTCTCAACCGTCAATCAACTGGTGTACAGATTCCTGAGCCTACTGGGCTCTATCATATCTACATTTGAAACTGTGTATGGAGTCAGCCTCCACCACATCACTTCCTAATGCATTCCATCTGTTAATTACTCTTACATTGAAAAAGTTCTTTCTATTTTGTCCCCTAATTCCCCTTGCCACTTCGGGGGGGTATAGGGTTTTTATGTAGCTTCAGGGCACCAATCCCCCCAGCCACAGGGCATGGCGAGACGGCACCCCTGAGCATACCTAATACCCTAGCAAACACAAACTAAAATAAACATATATGGCAATTTTTGTATCATCAGCAAACAATGAGAGGAATAATTCTATACCATCTGGAAGGTCATTTACATATATAAGAAACAGTACGGGTCCAAGGACTGAACCCTGCGGGACTCCACTGGTGACGTCTCGCCAATCTGAGACCTCACCCCTCACAGTGACTCGTTGTCTCCTGTTGCTTAGGTACTCCTTTATCCAATGGAGTACCGTCCCTTTCACTCCTGCCTGCATCTCCAGCTTTCGCACTAGTCTCTGGTATGGAACTGTGTCAAAGGCTTTCTGGCAATCCAAAAATATGCAGTCGCCCACCCCTCTCTTGTCTGATGCTTGTTGCCTGATCGTAAAATTCATTTAATCATGTGAGGCATGACTTGCCATCCCCGAAACCATGTTAGTGTTGTGTCACAAAGTTCCTTCGCTCCAGATGTTCCACTATCATTTTCGCACAATTTTCTCCAATAACTTGTATGGTATGCAGGTTAGGGACACTGGCCTGTAGTTCAGTGCCTCCTGTCTATCCCCCTTCTTGTATATCGGGACTACGTTTGCCATCTTCCAATTTTTTGGCAGCTGGCAACGCTCCCTGGGGGGCCCGGTCTAAGGTGGCAACGCTCCCTGGGGGGCCTGGTCTAAGGTGGCAACGCTCCCTGGGGGGCCTGGTCTAAGGTGGCAACGCTCCCTGGGGGGCCCGGTCTAAGGTGGCAACGCTCCCTGGGGGCCCGGTCTAAGGTGGCAACGCTCCCTGGGGGCCCGGTCTAAGGTGGCAACGCTCCCTGGGGGGCCCGGTCTAAGGTGGCAACGCTCCCTGGGGGTCCTGGTCTAAGGTGGCAACGCTCCCTGGGGGGCCTGGTCTAAGGTGGCAACGCTCCCTGGGGGGCCCGGTCTAAGGTGGCAACGCTCCCTGGGGGCCCGGTCTAAGGTGGCAACGCTCCCTGGGGGGCCCGGTCTAAGGTGGCCCCGTACCCCAGGGGGTGGGGGAGGGGGGGACGTGATCTAAGTCAGTCAGCACCTCCTCGCTGCCGGCTCTTTAGACATACCAAGGCTTGGAATGTCCTGTCGGAAGACAGGGTAGTCACAGCTCAGGACACAAGACTGTCACGGCATGACATGCCACGCGCGGGCCTTCCCTTGGCCCCCCCTCCTTAATGATGACTGATAGTGCTACACGCTGACGTCATCAACCAGCTAAACTCCTCCGCAGGGCATTGCCTTCAGTGAAACCAGCACCTGAAGCTCAATATAGTGTTGTTACCACATAAAGATGTGTCCAACACCCAACACATATCGTATAAGCGTCGTCAGCTGCTATCATATCCACGTGCGTGTTATCATGGTGGGGTGATGGTAGGGGGTGTCTGGTGCTTCAGGAGGGGTGGTCCATGACGTCATAACCGCGTCATCAGACCATTGACAGCTTGTCGTCCGCCTCCACCAATCACGACCCACTTGTCTTCCCATCAAAGAAAACGGAGCGACCACTTAAATACAGCCGATTTTAGCTATTGTTTTAATTGATATCCCTATTGGGGTAATTAATATTGACGAACCCCATAGACAAGTACCGTGTAAGGTCACGGTAGAGCCCCTGTGCTCCGATTAGTGGCGATAAGGATTAATACACGGATCGCAACAGTGTTTAGACTCCAGATCATTTTTTTGTGGCTCGCCTCAACCCCGGGATGTGCGCGGCAGCCATTTTGTTATGTCTGTGCTCTTTGTTGTGTGTGAGTGATGTCGTGAAATATTTGTGATTTATCGCGGATACACTCCGTCTGGCGGGGGTTTATATTGACTACAAGAAATTAGATATCACAGCGATTCTATAGGAAATCTAAGGATGTGTTTGAGTGAAAATTAAGGTGGATAAATAGAAGAAGAAGTGCAGCTGGCTGAGTGGCTTCTGTGTGGACGGGTAAGCTGCCTCTATCCTGGCTCCTTGGGCTCATTTTGGGGCTGTGCTCGGCTTGTCGGCCACCCTCTTGCTTGATTATATGCACCAACTCGAGTCTAGTTATCAATCTGATACCTTTGTGTCTTAGTCAAATTTGATTTTGTACTTCAAAATGGAACAAAATAATAAGCAAGGCGAGTCTCCCGACGAAAAATGGCGTCGCGCTGTGAGGTTTTGGAGGGATTTCCTGCGGGCGCCTGGCCATTTCCTCCATATATCATCCCTGTGCCTTAAAATAACCGTTTGTACCTTGTGTTTCGTCTTGGAATTGTCATATAATGCATGTCAAGTGATGGCGAGGTTGTGAGGCGGCTCTGCCCTCCGTTACCTACGCCAGTTTAGCCCAACCTTTATTACGCTAGAGGTGGGAAGCCCCGACAAAGCCTCCACCTACACGCTGGCTGAAGCAGCAAGTCTAGAAATAATTTGATATAAGCGGAAATCCGCCTGTGAGGACATTTCCCTCATCGATTTGAAGCCCAAGTGGTGGACAGTGTCTGGGGGAGTGTTGGTGGCGGGAATGTTTCGCGCTCCTCACCATTGGCGGGCTTTCACAAGTGGTGATTGTTATTGGTGGCCGTGTGTCCCTCCTCCTGGCGGGCCTTCTGCCGGAGGACCAGGCCCCTCGGCCCCTCCTGCTCCTCCCAGGCCAGCCTCCTCTCCTCCACGAGGGTCTCGCCTACCACGCTGGCTCTTCCACCACCCTGAAACATTATTGGAGCGCGGACGAAAGTTTTTGACACTAGGTGCTAACCCTTTCCCCTGGCTCAAAACAAAGATAATAAAGTGTATTTTTAGCTAGCAGCGAGGCAGGCTGTTTAGCGATAACTTGGGTCATGGGACAACTAGGGATTTAACTGTGCTTTAGCTCGTACTGTGGCGTTACGGCCCTCAAACCCGACCCGAGAAAAGGTAGTCGCCAACTGTGTGGCCACTTTGGTTGTTAGCATTTGTTTGGCGCCAAATTCAAGTCAGCTGTCCCGTGTCGGCTACAGTTCACTTCGTACACCAGGAAGCTTCGCATGCTGAGTGTCAAACCTAATTAGCGTATTCCATTATGATATCTGAAGCAACCTGCCCAGTGTGGGTGTGCAAAAATTGAGTGTAACATCAGATATGTGCAGTTTTTCGAATGAAAACATGTGCAAGAAACAAGGTGTGCGTGTGTGTGTGTGTGTGTGAGCGGTGTGACCGTATTGCGGCACTGGGCTCGTGTTCCCAACGTTCACTGGACTCAAGCCGTAAGAGATACATATAATTGCACGTATTTATGTATTACAAAGTATTTTAATGTATTTTACTGTTGCCGTTGAAAACTTATTCAACAATGTTAATGTTCGTACTTTGATCTGGATCACTACGCACAGCATTAATAAGTGTTCCTGGTAGCGTAATTTGTAGTTCCCAAAATACCTGTGTCCGTACTACACAGTACTGTACGTCAATTACAACGAGCAAGTATGTATATCCACAAATTAATTACTTTGGCTTTGTGCCATCTTGGATATTCAGGTTACTAGAGGAAAGTTTGTCGTCAGTCTACTAAATATAAATAACATTTTAATTACAATGAAAGTAGCCAATTATAGCGTGTGATATGGAGGAGGGGGAGATGGTCTGGCTTCCGCGCCACACTAAATTGTTACCTGAAAGTTTTTAAAACTGTGTTGTGTTTACTTCGCTGTGTTTGTTTACTTCGCTGTGTTTGTATATTTACTTCGCCGTGTTTGTGTGTTTACTTCGCTGTGTTTGTGTGGCAAAGCGAGCGCACTCTCGGTCATACGTTGCTTGAACTTAAAAGACTAATGACCATCACGTTTGCATTTTACTTCTAGGTTAGTGATATAAACACATCTAATTTATATCCTAAGGTACATATAATATATATAGTGTTTACTGAAATTTTAACTGCTGATAACGTTAATGTATACAGTTTCGGAGGCCGGGGGGGGGGGGGGGGTCAGATCCACTTTCAAGCGTAGGACTTCCAAGTAATTATTTGAGTTTGCATACATACATATAGTGCTGTACACTCTTATAAAATCGCATATACAGTTCAAAGAAAGCATATTTATTTCTCTACAGCGGTTTCTCATGTTGCGGTAAGCTGTGTCTTCCAGTAATAATATTAACGATTATAATATTTAAACATACATCAAGAAGCAAATCCTTTGAGCCCTTGTATTATTAAAAAGATCATTCGTCAACTTATTTGAGCATTGTAGTTGATAATGTACAGATTTGTGACTTCCCACTTGCATTGTAGGTCATATGACATGGTCATGTTATTGAAAAGTGTAGTCGATTTCAAAGCAGTTGATGTAATTAAAATTGTTTAAATCTGTTTCCTGTTGTGAGGTGGACTTGGCCGAACCGTCTCGTGTGAGTAGGTGCATATAGGTAACAGTCATTGGTTGAACCTTTCCGGTTACCACTTGCCATGCAAAAACCAACCCCAGCAGGATGTATGTTGGTGTGCTCCCCCTTCACACATTTCCGCCTCTCACCCCCCCCCCCATAGCCACTTCCCTTCCTCCACCGTATGCCACTTCCCTCCCCCCCCCCCCCCACCATACACCACTTCCCTCCCCCCCCACCATACACCACTTCCCTCCCCCCCCACCATACACCACTTCCCTCCCCCCCCCCACCATACACCACTTCCCTCCCCCCCCCCACCATACACCACTTCCCCCCCCCCCACCATACACCACTTCCCTCCCTCCCCCCCCCCCCCACCATACACCACTTCCCTCCCCCCCCCACCATACACCACTTCCCTCCCCCCCCCCACCATACACCACTTCCCTCCCCCCCCCCCCCCATACACCACTTCCCTCCCCCCCCCCTCCACCATACACCACTTCCCTCCCCCCCCCCTCCACCATACACCACACCACTTCCCTCCCCCCCCTCCACCATACACCACTTCCTCCCCCCCCCCACCATACACCACTTCCCTGCCCCCCTCCCCCACCAGTATCCTTCCCAACTCGTGCACTTTTACCACCTGATCCATTTCTCTCCCCACCTGGTCCACTCCCCCCCCCCCTTGCACCTCCGAGTACCCTTCCCACCCCTACATCACCCCCCCCCCCCGTGCACCTCTACCCATCCATCCCTTGCACCATCAAAACCCTTCCCACCCCCGGCACCACAATCCTCTCCCCTGCATAACCTCACCCTTGCACCACCACCACCATTCTGTACACCAGTTGATTGACAGTTGAGGCGGGACCAAAAAGCCGAAGCTTAAGCCCCGCAAACACAACTAGGTGAGTTCCACTTACCTCTCCCACCCCTGCACCACCACTATCCTTTCCCACCTCTACACCACCACTATCCTCTCCCACCTCTACACCACCACTATCCTCTCCCACCCCTGCATCACCACTATCCTCTCCCACCCCTGCATCACCACTATCCTCTCCCATTCCTGCATCACCACTATCCTCTCCCACCCCTGCATCACCACTATCCTCTCCCACCCCTGCATCACCACTATCCTCTCCCACCCCTGCATCACCACTATCCTCTCCCACCCCTGCATCACCACTATCCTCTCCCATTCCTGCATCACCACTATCCTCTCCCACCCCTACACCACCACCCTCACCCACTCCTCCACCACCACCCTCACCCACTCCTCCACCACCACCCACCCCTGCACCACCACTACCACCACCCTCACCCACCCCTGCACCACCACTACCACCACCCTCACCCACCCCTGCACCACCACTACCCTCACCCACCCCTGCACCACCACTACCACCACCCTCACCCACCCCTCCTCCACCACACACCCTCACCACTACCCTCACCCCACCCTACCCTCCACCACCACCACTACCCTCACCCACCCCCTCCACCACCACCACTACCCTCACCCACCCCCCCCTCCACCACCACCCACTACCCTCACCCACCCCCCTCCACCACCACCCACTACCCTCACCCACCCTGCACTCTCGCTGCACCTAACTCTGGTTGTCTCTTCTTCCTTGTATACCAACCCATGTCGATCCCACCAAGCACCCTCCCACCCCTCTTCTCACACCCAGTCCCGTCTCCGCTCGCCACCACCCATCCGAACACATTTACCGAGCCACTCTTCCCTCACCTTGGCCAAGCTTTGGGACGCTGACAGGTCACGTGACTCGTGTTTAACGGCATTTAAATTTCGCGAAATGGACCACCAGCACACTAGATTTTGCGTTTCGCCTTGCTGGAATATAAGGTTTGTAGTCTTACTAGAGCCTGACGATCAACATAGATGATTCAGTGTATATATATAATTTTTTTGTATATAATTTTTTTTCCATTTAAGCAAAAAAAAAAAAAAGTGAAAAAATAACACCTTTGAATTGAAACTGATTTGTTTATCAACATCGAAGGCTATAAGGCGGCTAGCTACGATGGCTGATCCATTCCTGAAATGTGGGTTAGCTTGGCTAAGAGACCATTCTGTTCTATCGAGGTTACAGACTGTGTGGGTTGGCAGGTTAAGGGGGTGGGAGGTGTGGAGACATGGGAGGGAGGGGAGACGCTTTGCCTGGGGGAGGATAAGTTTAGTGACGTGGGATGAAAATAATTGGCATCGATAGCTTATGGGTTTAGAACACATCTGGCGAAAGTGTATTAAAGTGTGTGTGTGTGTCACGGTTTCCAATGATTTTAATCACTTTAGAACAAATGTGTGTTAGTTCCTTGTCAGTGGTTCGTAGTTGTAATAAAATTATGTGATTCCATGAGTTAATTTAAGCTATTGCTTATTGGATTTCTTAGAGAAGTGAATGACAAGCTATTGAATAGTGGTCCCTAAAAAACATTGCCCTATGCTTTATAGGGAAGTTTTGTGATATTTGAATCTTCTATTGCAATGTACAAAAGGTGGACTTTTAGTTTGTGATAGGTTGTAGTGTTTGGGCAAGTGTTCATATGGATGTTTTAAATTAATATGTAAGCAGTCTGCAGCAATGTCAGCTACCTAAGTGATAGTAGTTAGAATACACTTTGTTGACAAATGTTTTACCTGGATCATGGCTGTCACATAATCTAATGAAGAATTAGAACTTTAAACTGAAGAGTTCTTTATAAGGTTTTTGGCTTACAGTATAATACATAGCATACATTTTATAGCATACTCGCTATGTAATTTATTGTTGTTATTTTCATACTTACTCGTGGTTACACAGTTGAATTGGTCTTAAATTTTTTTCTTGTCTTTTAGAATATTTGAAGAGGTGAAAGACTACATGGGTTAGCTCTTTATTGACACTTTAACTCTGTTGATCACCATTCTTGTGGCCCTGTCTCACCAGGACCCATAGTTGACAACCCCACAGTCTGGATTGTCAGTTCTTGCAACTTGTCTTACAATGTAGACCCTAAACTGGCTGATAGGAAAAATTGTCTAACATTATTTTAGTAATTACCCATATCAGTTTAATGATGATATAATTAAATAAGTATTGTGTGTGTGTGTGTGTGTGTGTGTGTGTGTGTGTGTGTATATATATATATATATATATATATATATATATATATATATATATATATATATATATATATATATATATATATATATATATAATATATATAATATATTGTATATGTACTTATTGTTATAAGAATGAGTTGTTGCCCTACTAATCAGGTGATTCATTATAAAAACAATAAATGTTGTAGGTGTGACATTCTAAGTAAACAAACTGTTTTGTTTTTATCCTAGTACTAGGTTAGGTTATTTGATTTATTAGGTTTTATATGTACTATATAGTAGGCTAAGCTTATGTTAGCTTCTTTTGTTTAGTTTTTTTTTTTTTTTTTTTTTTAACTAGGCTATGGGCTGCAGTGTGTGAAGCTCATCTTGTGTTGAAGCAATGAACCTTTGTTTGGTTAACACAAGAGTACCTATTGCTGATTTTGCTGCTAATCAAGTAACTGACACTTACTGAGCTCATCCTTTTGGAGAGGCTGATTTATCACACTCCAACTTTTCATATGTTTATTTTACAGCCAGCTGTATGCTGGCTGTCCCTTGGTAACGTATTACAGAGCATCCGGCAATTAGGGCAATTCAACCAAAAGATGAACTATTAAGTACTCTGTAGTCTAAATGTTAAACAGTTCACTTTAGCAGCCTGTACTTTAATTTACCTTACCTACCACATGCCATGTCCCTGTTTCACGCTCCTTGATGAAGGATAAAATTAGAACACAGGCTGTCAGTTCAATTTTTCTTAACATCTAAAGGCTAAGTTCTTTAGGATGGCCTAGGATGTCCTTTATCCCTTTCATAAACCTTCACAGAAATCCAATTATTACTCCCTTAAACAATTATTTTACCTTAATCTTTTTTTCTGTGATTTGTACAGTATTTTTGTAAATATTTAAAGACAGTACTGTACTGTGACTTTGTTACTACTATTGCAGTTTTACATATCATTTCATTTGATTTATTAGTCTATATATAGTAGCCTATCCTGATATAAGACAAAATACTGTATACCACTTCATTGTGATCTTGTAAGAGCAATACAGTATGAGCACTGCAGCATTGAGGTAAGTATGCTTTTGTATAAAGATAAGGCATATTCCAATAGGTTTTGTAGCCTTCTGAATCTGCAGACAGCTTGAGGAAAATCTACTGGATGGCACGAAGTTGTCGTATTCCATCTTGGGCTAAAACTCATTGGGCACAATGCGCATTTGGTTAGGGCGTTGCAGTGCGCAGGATATTCTCAGCCATGTTTGGATTTGGTGTGTCATGTGATCGTATGCAGGGGCTACGTCACTCGCAAGTCTCTTGTTTTATATATAGACTTACTGCTGTGGGACCTGGCTAAAAAAATTAACAGTAATTTATATAGTATTGCATTTCTTTATCTGAATTTCAATTTCTTTTTATCTTCATGTTTTCATTGTCACATTGAAGCTCTCAGTAAAAATGTAACATCATAGCCTGCTGTACAACATTTGGTAAATAACATGCTCAGACAGGAGTTTTTGGCAAACATTGACTGTCACTGTATTTTTTTACTGTAAAGGTTATGCATCAACAAAATTATACCATAGGTAGCCTAGGGTTATCATATGACAGAAGGTTTCATATTTCATAAGAATACTTATCATGAAAAGTTAATTCAAAAGGAGTGTATAAGATCTTTTCATGGCACTTTTGATAGTACAGTAGTTGGTGTTATTAGCAGAATAAATAATGAATTATTGCAATGCATATTAAAAGTTTATATTAAAAAAAGCTTGTTCTCTTCTCAACCGGTGGTGAAGCAGCCCTGGCTCCACCAGTTCTAATTTTAGTCTTTCCCTCCCTCTTTTACTGCTCTAGAAAATAAAAGATTCTAGTGTGTTGTGCCTTTGTTGGGAACAATTTATTCAGCACTATTATGATAATTTAGTATGGTAGATCTCTCTGTCTTAGTACAGTAGAGTATCACTTTTGAAAATATATCTGGATAATTAATCTCCAGGATATCAGGATTTCACTTTCAAAAACATCTAATGAAGGTTGGCAACACCAGCTACACTGAAAGGAAACCTTGGGCTGTGTTGTCCAGTATTTCTGGATGTTATATAATTTTTTTGTGAGAGTATTTGAAGTGGCGATTGACATCTTAATGAGAGTTTACGAGGAAGGGTGAACTTAAACAGATATCTCCTTGGAATTGCTGTATTTGGCAAGCCTCACACTCCCACTTGGTTGGTTCGTCTTTGTTGCGGAATTAGAGAGTATGGGTTGTTGCTAAGGTGTTAAGTTGAGCATCATTGGAGAGGGTACTTACACTGACAGCATAAGAGAGATCAGACTTAGAGATAAATTTCTTGTATGCTTTTCTGATAATTTTGTTAGGTTGCAGAGGAATTATTGATTACTGCTTTACATATTGCACTGTCTGAAAGTCCAAGGTGTTTGAAGCTGCCAGTTATTTTGTTTATTTACACTTACCAGATTTTTTGCTGTAGACCCCGAGTCTGCTTTTCAGCTTGTGTAGAAATTGCTATTAGATTTTAATATTGCACTTAGTGAAATGAGTCATGTTTGATCTTGTAGTGCCGTGCCTATTAATGTTTGCCACATTGCATTTTGGGGTTGCAGCAAAGTCTGGTGCCAAGTGCGCATCATCCTGTCGTGTGATTGGTGCTCGCAGAAGCGAGTGTTGCCAGTTCGTTGTATTGTTAAAGCCTTTCTTTATAGTTATTTTAAACAATAAATCAAAATATTGATTCCCTAATAATTCATAAAAACTGATATCACTCCCTGTATGAGCTACTTTTAGTTGTGGAGTTCAGAAATTCTTCTGAGAAATTTTTTTGGAGGGGCAAATCGTTACTATACAGTAAAGATAATTATTTTATTTTAATGTGCTATCTCTCGATAAGCATTTAAAAATATTTTTACATAGTAACACTAATAAGATTTGATGCAACGTCACAAAACATGGACGCATCACACCCAGTGTGAGAGCTGTAGTCGAGGCCGGGTCATTTCAAGCACTTGCCAGACACAGCACACAGTCGTGCCAAGTTGTTTGTTATCAGCTTTGTGGCAGATTTTCTCTACAAGACCCTTGTGAGATTAACTCTGGGGCCTAGATCACAGCAAAGGTTGATTATTGCAAATGTATAAACATATATCATAATTGTATGTGATAAGTTTTTGTGATAAAGTGATAAGTTGTAAGAAAATACAGTTATTCTAAGTGGATTTATTTCTAGTGCTAATGGAGCACATAATTTGAAAAGCATAGAATTGTTTGGCTTGGAAGCGAGATATAAAAAAGGTGTGGTATATTACTAGCCCACAAACCTTGTACACCAGAACAGTGGCAGTTGTGTATGGTAGCTACCCACTGGGCAAGTGTTCAAGAGTACTTACATGCCGAGTTTTCTGGTAAGTTTTTCTTAGCACAGAGTTTGGATGTGTGCCATATATAGGGCCTCGTGTGCTCGTGTTAACATTGGGAATTGTTTGCTGGTAATTTTCTTACAAGTTACGCTGCATCATTTATGATGTGTGCCTGATTTGATGCCTTGCCTTATTTTAACATTAAAAAAGGGTGTTTCCCATTTGGCTACTTACCTATGAGATATTGAGATAAATATAAACTCCTGAGAGTTGGTGCTGTTTATTCTAGCATAAATGATGCTACTTATGTCATTAATAAAGTAATAACTATTTAGCATGGCATTTTTGGCGATACTACATACAGTATTAATATACAGTATACATATGTCATATTTTCTTTTATCTCGGTCTCCATAGGCTATTATTACATTTAGTGAAAAGAGCGTAAGTGGTTAATATCTCATTAATATAATTTTTTCTCTTTTCAGTTTTAATGATGTGAGAGTGAGCGACAATGGGTCCTAAAGACCGGGACCGTGGTGGAGGGGGCGGTGGTGGAGGTGGGGGCAGTGGGGGTACAGGAGGGGGTGGTGGTGTTAACGCCAGTGGCAGTAGTAGCAGCACCCCCTCGGTTACCTCCGAAGAATGGCTGCAGCGCCTCCTTACAGCCATAGCCAAAATCAAATCTCAGAAGCAGCGGCCGAACCTCGAACGCATCACCCAAACCATGAGACAACTCTACACTGTGCCTCCAGATATGGTGGTCACCAATCTCCAGGCACAGGTAAGACCACTGCTCGATTTTCCTCTTTTTTTATTATTATTATTATTATTATTATTATTATTATAAATTAATGATTAGATGACTGGTCATCTGCCTCCAAAAGTCTGGTTATTATTTAGAATTTTATTGGGTATTAATTTACAATATAAATATATATTATTTTATATTATATATTATATTATCTATTCTATATATATAGAATAGAGCCACTGCAATACAAAGATCTTGGTTCAGATTCTCTTTGGTTATTCTAATCACTTGTGTAATGCAGTCATTATTACAGTACAGGTACTTATTTAAAATGTTGTTAACCATATCATACAATCAAGACAAATTCCACTCACCTCTGTCCATCTCCTTTGAACCACAAGAACATTCTTGGCCTGCCCATAATACACTGTATTAGAAGCCTTGTCAAAAAATGTTGGGATTTATTGGGCAGGTTGTTTTGTGTTTCTGCCTGTCCTTTGCAAAAGTTAAGTCTATCTGTATATGGCATACAGCATTTTTCAATATACACTGTAGGTGCATTTCAGGTGTAGTTTCTCCTTAGGGAAACTTAAATATAGGGTTGTTTTGATGAGGTTTGATGAGAACCTCCAACGCTTCTCATCAAATGTAAGCCGTGCACAGCTTAACCTACTTATCGATAGTTAAAAAATATTAAGGGCAATAGAGAAAGATAAAACATAAATATAATGCTGTTTTACTTAAGAATTTATTAGGAAATGAGGATATTAGCCCAAGACAAAAAAGAAACAGCAAGGTTGAAGTCCAGAAAAATCTACTGTAATGTATGTAATATGAAGAACATTATACTGAACATCAGTTGGTTAATGGTGTGTCTTAGCAGGAGGCAATGAAGCTTATACAACATTGTATTCAGCACTGACTTAAGTGTTGTAAGCAATAGTTCATTACTTAGAACACTCACTCCTTACTAGAAATTTTACATGGTTTATAGCCCTGAACAGTGAGGGACAACTGAGCATTGATTCTTAACTGTTTGTACTTGATCACTCAACAGTAATCAGAGACCTGATTGTAAATTGATTCACAGATTGTGTTCCAGGGATAACTATTAGGAAATTGTTGGGAAAAAAGTATTTTTTCTTAAATCGGGAACGATTGTTGAGTGTAAAGTATCCAGTATTTTTTGCTAAGAGGTATGAGCTTGGCAACAGTTAAGGGATAACGTGTCTGAGGTTCAGAGGGAGTTACGGTTCTCCTAAAGGTTTATGCCAAGATAACACCTGCAGAAGTTGATGTATTTAATGACTTATCGAGTTCTGAAACTGAATGACCTTTAAGTTGAATGTGAACGTAACATTGAAGGGACTGTGTCATTTAAAGGAGTTTTATTCCTTCCTACAGTAAAGGGGTTGTTTACTCAGCAACAGTAATTAACAATATTAGCTGTTTTATACATGCTAGTAGTTGAAATAACAAGGTAATATAGCAGGAATACAGTGAGTGTGATCACTTTAGTGTTATAATTCAGTGCATATTGTACTAGCAATAACTTGATCCAGTTCATGGTGTGCCTCTCACTCAACCAGTCAGGTTAAGCACCAATGGATCTCACCACTAACATGATGGGGTTACTGCATATACATTTTTCCAGTTATTTAAGTCTCCTGATAAGTCTAAAAGGCTTCCTGTCCTGACAGTAGTATATCATACGAACAAAATTATGACAAAAATATGGGTATGAAAAAGTCAGAAAGGCTTGTAATAAGAGTGCTGAGGAGGAGAGTGTATAATGTTCATGTGGCTGCAAACAATTACTACAGTATATACTGGTCACCACATGCAAGACAATTCCTCTGTTATTCATTGCAAAGGTAAAATTACTCAACAGTGCCCAACCTTGAAAAGGAAAATATCAGTTGAAAATTCAACTCCGATACATGGTTCTCAATATTGGGTATCGAAGGTGTCAAATTGCTGGTTGGTGGTCCATTCCACAAGATAACTATGTAATGGAAGAAAATTAGACGGTATACTGTATCGAAGAGCTTTCAATTTTTGGAATAGTGATAAACACGCAATAACTGTGTGTGATCAGAAGCGGCAATGAGAGTATTACTATAGGTGTATGCAACATATTTTACCATTCCCTTTAATCAGGAGAAAGGACAGTATAGAAGACTGCCAGTACTGCTTTACTGCTAGAATCCACTCAGTAAAAGATCTAAACTATTGGGATCGACTAAAGCTCCTAACTCTGTATTCTCTTGAGCGCAGGCAGGAGAGATGCATAATAATTTGTACATGGAAAATAGTAGAGGGGCTGGTCCCAAACCTGCACACAGAAATACCACCACATGAGATCAGAAGGCATGGCAGGATGTGCAGAATATCCCCTGTTGAGGTGCAGAGGTGCAACAGGTACTCTGAGAGAGAACTCTATCAACATCAGAGGCCCGAGACTGTTCAGCACGCATCCACTACACATAAGGGGCATAGCTGGCCAACCCTTTATAGTGTTCAAGAGAGAACTTGACAAACACCTCCAAAGGATTCCTGATCAACCAGGCTGTGACTCATATGTCAGGCTGCTAGCAGTCGCGTCCAACAGCCTGGTTGACTAGACCAGCAACGAGGAGGCCTGGTCGACGGCCGGGCCGCAGGGTTGCTAAGCCCCAAAATCACCTCAAGGTAACCTCCAGGTAAGGCAGTATTACATTCTGAGCAACATTTCAGAACCACACTACTGCTATGTCGACTGGTTATGTTTATATATACTGTGTATAAATGTGAGGAAATTAGTAGAAGCCATGAGGAGGGTCTGAACCCACTCACTTGGAACTCTCAAGCAAACGCCTAAGACCACTTCACCACGACATGGTTATCAGCATTGCAACCTGGGATTCTACTGAATCCTCTAAGGGGGCCTGAGGCTTAAAACTGAAACTCTATCGGGGGTTTTACACACTGCTACCATTCACTATGGTGGCAGTATGGTCTAGTAGTTCTACCTCCAATGCTTCTCATCAAATGTACAACGAAATCTCATTAATTTGTATCAATGAGAAAATCAGTGGAGCCACGAGAAGAATTCGAACCTGTTCACTTGGTACTCCAGAGCACATGCCCTACACCACTACACCACGGTATGATCAAGAGCAATGCAACCTGGGATTCAGTAGAATTGCAGGTTTTGACCATGATGTGTAGTCAGTATGTAGTACCTAATAGGCCAAGTTGTCTAAGAAGCTGAATTTTCCTGTAAATATATTTTTCAATTTTGTTTTCTTGCATACGGCTTTCCATTCCAATACATATGATTTTTTTTTTTTAATGCTTTGATTCAAAACTAACATAGAAATTTGATCAAACCTATGCTACCTAACCTATCCTAACAAAACTAAGTCAGTAATTCATGTTCCTGATATAAAAGATATTATTTGAAAAGAACTAATCTAGAAAGAAATATTTGAAAATGGCAAAAAACATTTGGCTTGTTAGGCAAATTAGACCTTGCAGACTAGGCCAAGTAGTGTAGTTCTGGCTATTAGGCACAATATTATATATATATTATTATTATTATTACACCCACCCACACAATACATTTTTATTATAGAGCCACAGAGATACTACAGGAAAGAGGTGGTTGGCTTGACTGTGTCTATCTAAACCTAAAAAAGGCTTTTGATAGTCTCACATAAGAGGCTGTTCTGGGAACTGGAATATGCTGGAGGAGTGACAGAGACCCATACTTCAAAAGACGAAGTCAAAGACGAAGGCGTCAAAGACGAGACATAAGGAGGCGATGAGTCACAATAACGTGGCTAAAGTATGTTGACCAGACCACACACTAGAAGGTGAAGGGACGACGACGTTTTGGTCCGTGCTGGTCCAGGACGGACCGAAACGTCGTCGTCCCTTCACCTTCTAGTGTGTGGTCTGGTCCGGGAGACATAAGGAGCTGCGATAACGGAGGTTGGGCGGGTGAAGTTGACGCACAGAAAACTGGAATGGTGGGGAAGGTTGGCGGGGGAGACTGTATGCAGTGACGCTATGTAAAAAGAACATCCGGAGGGGAGGAAGGAGCCAGGGAGGAAATGCCGAGGCCCGAGTTGTGGTGTTATGCATGATTGGGGTTGACGGGGTGGTGGTGGTGGGGGTTGACGGGGTGGTGGTGGTGGGGTTGACGTAGTTGTGGTGGGGCATTTCAGGGGGGTTAATGGCTGTTCTGGATTTTCCTCTTATGGTGGGAAAGATGGTGGAATTCCAGGAAACGGCCAGTAGTGATGTATCGGGCGTGATATATAGTGTATGTTGTACACCATGAATGACGGAATGAATATATACGTGTACAGCCCCATAATGAATGCATACATTTGCGTACAGCCTCATAAAGATTGAATGAATGAATATGCGAGAGTTCCACCTCGTCGCCTGGCTCCGTATCTATGAAAATATATTATTACGTTGTTGTGATTCAGTTTGAATAGATTAGCTAAATGAATTTATGCAGAGGTTAAGAAAACGGCGAATAAAAACCAAGCGTGACTGCGATATTAATGACGGGAATGAACAGAACAGTGGAATTAGGAGAGTGGAAATATGGCGGTCTGGAGCAGACAAGTGTGATGAGGTCCCAAGTGGAGGAATGTCATAGGGAGAGGGGCAAGGCCCTCCACTCAGATGGGGACCTTTTGGATGGAATAAATTGCTGAAAAGTGTTTGTCGTTCGGCTCGCTAATTTGTATACTTGGAGAGGACGGGGGGGGGGGGGAAAGTTGAGGGAAAAGTGTGATAGGATAAAATGCGATGATTGGTGTAACACACTTTGTATGCATAATGAAAGCGCGTTATGAAAAAAAAATTCTAACGTCTCTATGGTTCATTTGGGCACTAAATTTCCACCTGTGTCCCCTAGTGTGTGTGCCCCTTGTGGTAAACTACGCGACAGGACGATGGGAAAGTCATTGTCTCAGGTTTAAAACTAATGTTTCTCATTGTTAAGAAAGAGAATTTAATTTAGCTCTGAT